AAGAGGAAAAAAATTTGTCTCCAAAAACATAGGCAGAGGTTTTTGGGAGAGGGGTTATTTTCTGGTTTGGGTTTTGGTTTTTTTTTTTTTTTTTTTAATAGAACAAAACAACCCAACCAAAAAGAGAAAATAAAAAAGAAACCCAAACAATCCAAAATTCAAACTCACACAATCCTGTACTTACTCCATGCTCACTCACTGCAGGATCTTTGTTGTCACTTACATCTTCACCTCAGGCTTTTTGATCTTTGCTTCCAAGGAGGGGTTATCAAAACCCTGATAGTGTTCTATCAGAATAATTGGCAGATGTTAAAAAAGTGGGCAAAGGCATTTACTTCATCCTGCCTGCTGCAAGGGAGGGTTTCCCTGCCTTCCCCTGGTAACACGAGTTGAGTAAGGAAGAATTGTTCTAAAGCAGATGCTGGACCTCCAGCTGCTGTAACTGCCAAGGCAAATAGAAGAGCTCGAGCAGCAGCTGAGGGAAAGCTTGTAAATCTCAGGCAGTGAGACTGTCAGCTACAGCACACCGTGTGGAGAGCCACCCTGTGCATGGAAGAGCCCTTCCTAATGCAGAATAAGCCAGCCAGCTCCCTTGGGATCAAAGAAAAGCCGTCACTGTATCATCACGTTGGTGAGCTCACGCCAGGCCTAGCAGCCTGGCTAATTCCCTCTGATGTTATATTTCCTCTCTTTGGGAGTTCTCTCCTGTGCCAGCACTAATACACATGTGGTTGCACAGTCTGGCTTGCCATCTATCTTCTCAGTCCCATGGGGGTACTGCACCCCTCTTTGTACTGGCTGTGTGGGCTTATACTGGTTTAAGAAGAGGGTATAAAGGTGTTATGCTGAAATACTGAATAAGGGCTTTATTCAAAGAAAGGCAAGAAACAGGAGAGACATTCTTGGTATAGACATATACTTGCTCAAAGGCCAAAATAAATATTAGTTAAAAACACTACAGCAAGAAGGAGAAAACAGATTTTACTAACTAGCCCTTGATAATTACAATGGTATTCACATCATGGTTGGTGGGTGTGATGTACAGATATCAAGGGGAACATTAGGGTCTTAAACAGTACCAGCAAATTGTAGTGGTTTCTGCAATATTTTCATGAAAAACTTCTGCCCAAAAAAGTAATTGGGAAAAGGGGCAGAAAAAATGAGAGTGCAAGGAATGAGGTTCATGCTCCAATGTTGAGAGTAGGATGCTTGCATGCATTAGGGAGAAGATATTAACAGAAAGCTTCAGAAATATGAAGAGAAATATTTTATTTTATTCTTCTTTTTTTGAGAGACTCGGAAAAACTAGATAGAAACAGTACAATTCAGGAGGCAGTAGAAAATTCCTGGGTTACAAACCAAGACTTAAGGGAAGGATCCACTCTTCAAAGACTCAGTGGAGAAAGCAGGGATTTGGATTTGGGCCTTTTACTCCAGGACAGATCTGATCACACCATTTACAACTCTCACATCTGTGGAAATATGCTTTGTCCAACTAGAAAGGCTCCTCCATCTTGTGTCTCTGGCCATCTGCCATAATCAGGAGCCTAGTAAGGTGATGTGATGCTTTTAAAGCACTCTTTGTTACCAGAATCTGTAGTTTGGCCTCCACAGAAAGAATTAAAATGGGTGAAATAAATCAACTTATGTATCTCCTGGTTATTAACAGTTTTTCTCGATTTCTCAACTTCTTTCATATAGATTGAACATCTATTTTAAAAAATACATGAAAATTTGTGTTAAAAATAATTCATTAATTGCAGCAGTGATTAGTAAGAAATAAATGAACTGCCTAATAGTAGAAAGTCAACTCTGTAACTGGCTCATGTTTGAATTTTGCAAGTATCCCAGTCTTCTGCTGAGATTAGTAAATTCCTTTATAACAAAAGCTATTAACAAACTCTGAAGGATGCTAAAGTGTGCAAGAACAACACAGTGAAGCCCCAGTGACAAAATAATGCAAACAGAAGTGAAATCCTGAAAAGTGAGACAAGTAAGAGCTTGTTCTTTATATATTACTAGTAATTTACAGTAATAACTTTAATTGCTTCTTTTAGATAGGATAATTGTAAAATGCAGGTGATGTTATGACACGTAGTGGAAATTATGAGGCAACATTGTGTCCCTTCAGTTTCATGGTACCGAGAGATACTGTGTGAGTTTTTAAATTTATAATCCTGATTTTGACATTTCTGGGCACTGTCATTGATTACTGATATTTTTGTTTGCCCCTACAATTCTATTTAACAGCATAGACAGTCTTGTTTGAGATAGTGTTCAAGTGTAGACATCACTGACACCAACTTGCATGTCTAGGGACAAAACTATTAATTCAGCCTGACAAATTATCAGAATATTCTATCATGGTGTCCACAATGGCTTAGCTTGAAATACTGAAAACGGTGATCTTTTTGATGATTAAGTACTGAAGTCAAGCTGAAGCACTTGACCAATGTGTTTCCAGGAGAATTCAAAACCAACTTAAAAATATTGCTCTTATTCTAATGTAAAAACAAGCAAACAAGCAAACCATAAAAGATCAAATACTACTTAGAGAACTATTCCTTTTCTTTTTCTTGTTCTTCACAGATCTCCTTTCAGTATAACAGACAAATATTTAATGCCCAAATGAAAAGAGATAATTATGTTTTTAATATCTTAATTTTCATGCTTAAATATTGCTTTCTACTGTGTTTGAAAACATTTTCAGTATTCAAATTTAGACCTTAGTACTTTTATAAGATGCTCTTGAAATCATGTCTTGAGCACTATCTACATCATCTTAGGCTATGACCAGCATTAACCAATGAGTTGAAAACTTTGCTGTGACTAAGCAGAAAAAGTCAGTCTTACCAAATTATTTGCACTGAAATAGTAGCCCACGAGTCTTGTAGGAAAAAGAAAATGAAATGTGAGCAAGCATGTGAGAAAACTGATTGGTATTTGCTAGTTAGTGTGCTTCCAAGTATGTTATTGTCAAGGCAGCCTTTATCATTGCCTGACATCATTCCAAGTGTAATGTCCTTTCTGCCCTGACTGGTTGTTGATCCCATGGCATTCTGGAGATCAGCAAGGGATGGTCACTCTGCTTTCATGTGGTGGCACCAGGACAAACCCTAGCTCAGATGTTTTCCAGTACCCCCTGGTCGTAATGGACATACATGTCCTACGTTGCTATGAAGTATTTCAGCACAAGAAAAACTAGTTTGCTCATATTCACAGGTATTACACCTGTACATTTCAAAAGGTGTTGAAAAATTGAGAGAACATAAAATCCCACATACTAAACTGGTTTGAGAATGGAAGTGATATCCTGGAAAATGACTGAGAAAATTGAAAAATTCCAGTCTGATTACAGTAATTTCACCTAAAGAAAACAATTCATTTTGAATATGAAAACACCTTTAAATCTCTCTAAGAAGTAACCAGTTAAACAGAATACATTCAAATGAGGAAAAAATCCAGATATTTCTAACAATGGAGGAAGTAGCAGCAATCAGAAAATGTGAAAATGATGGATTTAGTGAATGCCCTGAATTTTTCACAGTAAGACTAAACACCTTTCTCATCAATAGCACTGATGGAGCATCTGGTTGAATTATAACATGAAATGCATGAAGTCACAGCATAAAATAAAATTTTGCTTTTAAGCTGCAGGGTTTTGTTTACCTGCAGATTTCCTGGTGACTGAATTGTGGTAAACAGAGGAAATAAAACCAAAATAAACCAAATGTTTATAGAATAAGATGAATAAGATAAACTGGTCCTAGCAAAGTAGTCAAAGAGTAGTTAAAAACAGTAAAATAAAACAAATGGGCAAATTATGTTTTCAGATGCCTAACTATTCTGATATACCAGTGTAAACACATCTGTATGAACAGATGTATTTACAGCCCTACAAAGAAAAGCATTATCTGCAAGGCCACATAATTAGAAACAAGTATTTTAACACAAAGAAGGAAAGAACTGCAGAAAAAAAAAAATTAAGCACAAAAGCAAAGAGATAGACCTAAGTAATTCTAGCTCTTTGGAGTGAAACTTGTGAAGCAAAAAATACCTTAATTATTCAGATTTTTTTTTCCATAGCAAATTATTTCTTGTTTTCATAATTACTGTTTGCCATCTTTCAAAGGATATTTTCTGAACATGCTACTTGTCAGCAGGAAACACTTAGGACTGAGATCTGGGCAGCAGGGTGACTTGTGCAGTCCTGTGCCCAAATCACTGGGCTCTGAATCAGTGTGGTGCTGCTGTGACCATCAATGTCAAAAGGCCTTTGCCAATGCTGTTTAGGGAGCTGGAGACAAAGGGAGCTTTCGAAAAGGAAAATCCTTTCCTTTATTTCCTCTCCAAGAAAAGAGGCTGACTTCAACCAGAAGAGTCCCACCCTTCTCAGAGATCTCAGACAGCCACTACCCAGCTTGTCACGTTTCCAAGCTCTACACCTTGCCTAGGCCAATCAGCTGTTATCATCACTGCTGATGGAGTCACAAGCTATAAGAGAAGAAGAAATCCTCTCCTAAGAAAGATTTTTTGAGGACCTACAGGCAAGACTATTTTCTAATTATTTCGGAAGCAATAGTCTGCAAAATGTTATTGTAGGGTCACCTTATGCGTTGCCAGGATAACAAAAGGGAGGTAAGGATAACAAAATTAAGGGAGACCTCAGTCCAGGAATCACTTAGAAATTCGGTGCAAAAACCCAAAGGAAAGCTTCTGAATATACATCCAGAATCATTACTTGTTCAGCTCTAATCTTGACCTGCTTCAGTGCATTTGAACTATTAACTAGCAGATGCTAGTTAAAACATGGTCTTTGGATCATCTATCTTGATCCCTCCCTGAGAGTGTCCAGCTTAAAGCTACCTTTGCTAAATACTGTGCCCTTCACTGGAACAATTATTTTATAAAGGCTCAATTTATAGAAACTAACGACCCATGGGTCAACACCCCCAAAGGAAACACTCAATACATTTTTGAGAAAGTATCAGGATCTCTCCTTTATAGGTCAACAAGTTTATTATCACCTTCCTTATCACACCAACAGAATGGGAACGTCCCACAGCATGGCTGCAGCCATGGCTTCCACACCACGTTGGACACAGAGAGCTGCTCTGGCACTGGAGTCAGCGTCCTGCGATGCTCCTCTATGGCTCTGCCAATCTTCCTTATGACAGTGTCAAAGAGGGGCTCCGTGGCAGCTGAGAGAGGTGTGGCTTCAGAAGGGTCTTGTGAGAGCTCAAACAGCAATGGAGGCTCATGATGGGTCACTCCTTCCCCAAAGCATGGGCAAAATCCTCTGTCATAACAAGCCCCTGCTCCAGGAGGACTGAAAATGGGAGTCATGAAATGAGCCTTCCAAACAGCTCCAGCTGGCAGGAAAGAAAGAATCACAGAAGGCTGGTTATAACAATGTTAGTTATCACAAGGAAGAGTGAGTGTTTTTCTAGAGTTCATTTCTGGATGCACTTCAGCTCTACACTTATTAGTTAATGCAGGAATTTCTCCTGGTGCTGTACAACACAGGCAATGCCAGTAAGTTCTTTCCCACATTACACCCGAAGTACTTGGACAGACAGAATCCCAGAAAAATAATGTGTTAGGACAATGTGCCTGCTTGTAGACTGAACATAATTCTTTGGGAAGAAGCTGTGTACTCACTGTCCTTCTGGTGCCAGCGCACGGCGTGTAAGTGAACGCCGCAGTAATGGAACAGGAACTCGTGCTCCGAGCGCGCCACCGCTCCCCGCAATAAAGGCAGCAGGTCCCGGCCGTCGATCACCCTAGCACGAAAAACACACCACAGGGAGATGAGCTGGACAGGGCTGTGCTTCCTCTGCACACCTCTTGCTGGAACTGGCACTTCTGGACGATAAAGGGGATTGCAGAAGATGGCAGGGGCTGAATTTCAAAGGTAGAGGTGACAGAGCTCGTAGACATTGATGTGTCTAAAAAATCATCAGGACCAAAAAAGAAAACATCAAACTCTTAGAATGTGTTTCCAAGCTAGATTTTCCATTGTTTTGGGAAAGAAGGAGGAATAAAGATTCTTTTGTTTGTACCTGTCCTGAGGCACTTCCCCTCCAGCCAAATGAACTACTGTAGGATAAATATCCATAAGGCTTGTAGGTTCAGCAATAACTGTGCCTGCAGGTAACACTCCTGGCCATCTAAATATCCCTGGGACGCGGATTCCTCCTTCCCAGCCTCCCATAGATTTTCCACCTTTCATTAAATAAAAAGAAAATTTTTTTTTTAAAAAGTTTGATTTAAAGTGAAGAGAATTTTTGCACAAATTTCATTGTATTATCATGTTACCTTGATGAACCTTCTTTACACTTTTGTTTTTCCTGCTAAGCTCCTACTGAGCATTAGTGAAAGCGTGTTCAGTAATGTGAGACCCCGACAATGTGAGAATTCATGCTTACAAAGGACACCTGCCCAGGTTAGAATTTACTACATTGTTACATGCCTAATTAGAACGAGACATATTTGCTTCTTGGTAATAAACCAGTATTATTACTTGAGTGTATAATCTTACTTAAGCCTTAGAGATGTCCTAAGTTCTTGACTAGTTGTTGCTGGGTTGTCACTGACCTAATAGCTCTTACCTTTGTATATTCCATTCCAGCCACCCAACTGTCTTTCCCCTTCTTGCCTTTCCAGCCATCCACCATGATCGGAGGCAAAGTAAACTAGTGTAGTTTCTTTCAAGCCTTCCTTGTCAATAGCATCTAGAACCTGGCCTGTAAATGCAAGAATATGTGAATATTAAGAAGCAAAAATATCCCTCATACTACATAAATTTTAACCTCTGACTTGTAAACATTTACCAGTATAATTTCTTACCTATGTAAGGTTGTTCATTGTTTAATATTTTTAAGATTGATATTTGTAGTTATGATTTCATTGCCTCTAAAAGCACAGAAATTTTGTGACGTGTTGTAACCACTTTATTATTGGTATTTTAACAGGGGGTGCAAGAACCACAGCCACAGACAAGAAGCCTATATTGTCAAGGGCAAAAAAAAAATACCACGTACTGTAAAAATATGGAAAGCAATTATGATCTAAAAGTTAGTGTCTGCATCAGTGGTGGCTATCATGAAAAATGTGGAAAAACATAAAGTTACCTTTATTTTATATTGTCTAGACCACTGTTAGGATTTGCCTTACATTACTGCATGGATATAATATGTATTAATAATGAGTGCTTTTAAATTTAAAAGTAATTCTTGAGCAGTTTTTGACGTCCTTAATTATGTTTTCAATATGTAAATGTTTGAGAGGTTTGAAACCAAATTCTGTATGTGTATTCTGAGACTTTTCTCTCTTTTGCAAATGTGGATACTTTTTGTCCATCATGACTGAATGATAAATAATTCTCCTTCTCCTCCAGAAAAACAGGCTGAAAAATAACATGAATCTTATTGTGGAGAGCACACCAGATAACACTGATGGACATTTCTGTATTTATGATTGTGGCTGAAAAATATCCAGTATTCTGCTTAGTGCAGCCAACACAAATAAGTAACCTGCTGTTTTTCATCTGTAATTAATTTTCTTATTGATTTTATCACCTTATGTCCTGCTTAGAAACGACCATAAGAGGCGGACATGACCTGGTCTTTACTAATCATAGAAAATGAAATAATTATTACATATTTAGATAGAAGAACAGAAGAGCTCCTTGACAGGAGCTAAGGGGATGTGGTTAAAACTGGTAAACACTTGACCAAAAAAAAAAAAAAAGAAGAGTGAACATTTGGCCCAAGACTGGAGAAAGTAAAAAACCAACACTATAAATCAACAGTGCTCACACAAGATTGACAGATGTTCATGAAATGCTTAAGATTTTTTTGTATATGCTTTTAATCATCTTCCTTATTATTTTAATTAAAACTTTTTACTTAGACCTAGGTATTTGAAAATGGGAGACATTGTTATATGCTACGTTGACTTACCCACCATCCAGTCCATCTCCTCTACATTGTCCCCATATAAACCATGTCTGCTCCTCCCAAGAAACTTCTCTGTGGTGAGGAGAGGGGTGTGGGAATGCAGAAAGGAAAGAAAGAGGAGGAATGGCTTGTCCTTATTTCTACAAAACAGAAATTAACATTGTGTTAATAGAGAGGAAGGTTCTCAATGCAGGTCAGTTGGAGTGAAGTATTATTTTTGTATTGATATTTCAACATTCCCTTCAGAAACACCTTATTTTGTAAGATACTATAACCCAGTGATTAGGATCCCATAGAATAATTTTGGGTCTATATAAAATATCCTTTTTCTACCCTGAATCATTGATAGAAAACTTCCAGATTGACGATCTACTTTCTGCTATTGCAAAGCACCACTGTGCTACTGAAGTGAAGGCAGCAGGTTCATCCCCTGCCAGCTGTTGCCCACTTATCAGTCCATATGATATGGCTACATCACAGCTCTGCTTCTCCTTCCCTGGCCCACATACACATTTCTGATATCACCTGCTATTCCTTAAAGCTGCAATGCCACTCTCATTGATAGGTATACATATTTCTTAAATATAGCCTAGAAATATTCAATGCAACCCATGGAAGTTGGGAAGTATTATCAGCTTTAGTGAAGCTAGGAATAAGGGGCATCCTTAAGCAGTAGCATTTTTTTTCCTTTTTAATTTCATTATATACCTATTTATATTATTAAAAATTAATAAAAATAACAGTATTTATAATCCTACATAATACTGTAAAAATTAAGAAACTTTTGAAGACATGAAACAGGAAAGTGCTGTCTACAAGTTGGAAAATGTGCAAGAACCAGAAAATTTGTGGTCAAAGGAAGTCCACTTCACCTTTCAATAAATGAAATGGACTCTCTCAAGATAAGGGACGTAGTTCTGTCTGTCACCATTGGCTGCTCAGTAATTCCATGGTTTCTCATCATAATGCAGTTCCAGTACCGTACAAATCCGTAACTTGAGAACCAGGATATGAAGAACAGGAGACTGAACCCAGCAAGGCAGGTGAGTGTTTTCCAGTGGACTGAAATCAAGCCAGTCAGTCTCCCAAGGACAGCAGTGAGTGTAATGAGGCCAATCATTTGAGTGGAAAGCCAGAGCTTCCTTCTAAAGGCTCTGTCCATCTCCGGTGTTTCTGTTGGCTGACAGTCACTTATTAGTGTAAAAGGCATCCCATAGAAATAGTCAAATCCATGTTTTAAAGGGTGATGACAATGGTCATTGCGGGACTCACAGTTAACACCTTGATGCCACTTCCCTGAAAATAGAGGTTATTAAAATATAAAGAGATAATATTTTAAAAGAATGGACTTTTCCTTACACAAAACTTTTCTAAAAAAGTGGTTGGTTGTTTTCTGCTTGTGATAACTGCATCATCCTACACAGAAATATACCAAGTATGTAGTTATATAATGGGATTGACTAAAGTAAACCTCTACAATTTATAAATTTTCAAAACATTTATTTGTGCTCATATATACATTTATTGTATATATATTCATGCCCTGTAGCTTTGATCATACATTAAAAACAAAAAAAGCATATAAAGCAACTATAAATTGAGAAAAAATCCAAACTGAGCAAAAATGCATGGCCTTCCTGGAGACCTGTCAAGTATCAAATAGAAGGAAGCTGACCTTTTGTAAGCATAGGGGGAAGTAACCTTTTGTTGTCCCTTTACCTTCAAAGTGCCATGCAGACTGGCTCCTGGGAGGTTTTGAAGTGCATGATGTCAGAGCTGTGTCAATACTTTGTGTTGGTCTCAGATTGATAAGGGGAGATATGGATAGAGTAGTTAAACTAGCAGCTCATCTAACTGCCAGACAAACCACTGGATCCAGAAAAACTTGAGCTCAGGATTTCTCATGAAGCTGTACATTTGTAAGTAACTTTGATGATCTAATGATCATCGTATCATTATATGTGATATCTCCACATACTGACTGAAAATAAAAAAAAATAAAATACTTTATAAATATTTTTGCCATATATTTGGATTTAATCAAATTTTAAAAAGTTAAAGCCTACTTCTTTTAAATACTTAAGTCTTCATTTATCAGAAGGAACATATCTTGACCTTTTGGAACACAATTTGTTCTTCATTATGAACATACCAACTACTTTCATGAATGGCACATCAAAACCATGCTTTTGCTTCCCCTCCAGCTTGTTCAAACAGCCTGGTTAGGTGTCGGAACCCAAAATGTCCCTCAGACATTTTTAGAGGTTCCAGGCCTTGGTCAGAAGCATTTTAGACCCTGGCAAGCAGCTGAAAACAGCTGTGATTTTGAGTTTGAACCATGGAATGAATTACCAACTTTGAGGGTGGAACAAGCAGTCACAGAATGTTAAATGGTATAGTAAAAGTAGTCACAAATTAGAGGGTAAAATTTTTTAGTGTTGTACAGGGGGGTTTTAGTACCTGTACAGGGGGGTTTTCACTTTGTACAGGGGGGTCAGGAGTTCTAAGATGGAGGAAAGTGGGCCTTATCTTATTCTTCCTCCTTCTTCTTCCTTACCTCCATGTTCTTGGTGATGTTGGCATTCACAGATTGGTTTAGTGTAGAAAAGCACATTGTAACGTAGATAGTAGGTATTGGAGAAAATCTATAAACATATAGTACGTAATATATCATATAAAAGATAGTAGCAGCTTTGGGCGGGGAGAGAGACAACGAAGACACCAGACAGTGAGGGTGTCAGGAGAGTGTGTACCTCTGCCTGGGCCGCAGACCAAAGCAGCCGCAGCGGGCGAAGACAATCTTTTAGATAGCTAGCAATAAACTACCTTGAGACCAGACAACAAGAAGCTGTGGAGTTTTTCTTTGGAAGCGCGAGTTGGAAGAAAGACTTTACCACCACACGAGAGCCCCAAATCAATCCCGGGGTTCTCACAGTTAGGCATTTATGTGGTGACATAGTAAATTTGCTCATTTGGTTCAAACACTGAGGTTTGAGAACATCTGAATTGAGTGAACAAAATCTACCACTCATCAGAGGCTTGATGGCATTTTTTGCAGATCTTGGATGTCAGCGCATAATGGGCATTAAGAACTTTACTAGAAAACTAATTTGAAACTAATTCTTATTGTAGAGAGAAGAACTGTGCACTTCTAGGATGATGTTATCCTCAAGAAACGTTTCAGTATGCTATCAGTACGTATAATAGCAGTCAACCCTGACTGGGTTTCAATAGAATTGCAGTGCATTACAATAGGACCAGAACAACTGACCCAGAGGAGAAAAATAGCTGCTTCTCCGCTGTAAATATAAAGAAAGAATGGAAGTTCTAGCATAGGTAGATGAATTGCTTTCAGCTAGAATCTCTACTCAGTTTACTTCCTGACATATTTAGAGCCAGCTGTAGAATGAAACAGATTTGTAATCAACACATAAATGCATTGGTCAAAAATACAGGTGCAGCTGAAGTATTCTTGGAATCCAGATGCACTTCAACACCTAAGTCTCCAGCGGAGGTCGATAAAGGTTTCTGACATGCTAGAAAAGAATCAAATCTCCAGAAGCTAAACTAAGTGTATAATTAAGATAAAGTAATCTCTGAGGGCTTACTTATACAGCATTGGTCTTCTGACTACAAAGAACCTTCAAAGCATTTCCCAGCAAAAAATCTCATTATCACCTCAGGCTACAGGTTATTAATAGGATTTAACTTTGCAGTTAAACTGGGTGTGCTCTGGGCAAAACAATCGCAAACAATTCAGGTGAGACTACTTAGTGCTCATTCAGCTGTGGTGGCATGGGTAGATCTTGTGTTAAGATTTTTTGCTTCATGACTTGAATGTAAAATTCTGGTGGTATTCTGTGTGTCACCTATCACTGGTGCTTTTCATCATACCCCATGGTGCAATTAACCAGGATCTGTCAATCCAGTTAATCTAAGTGATGCTTTTGGGATCTGTGGTGTGACTTTAGCTGAGATGCCCACAGGGAAAATGCCTCCCCATTTTGTTTCTGGGAGGCAAGCAGCAGGACTCCCCTGAAGGGCAATTCCCTGGGGGGAGTGCAGACAAATTTGATTGTTTTGCTAGTGATGACATGCTGAAACCAAGATGAAGCATGCACAGTCTGTTTTATGAGCTAATTTAAACAACTAAAATAATATCGTTGCAAAACTAACAGGAGATAGAACTTCAGTAATGTAGAATTTTAATTGCTTGCAAGGCTTCTTTTAGTTTTGTCTCGTGTAGTTTAGATTTATTTTGTTGAATGAATACAAATCTATTTCTCCATAAAGATAAATTCAGTTGGTTTGTGCAGCTAATATTTTATGTGCCAGATACAGATTTTTGATTTTGACATTTTATATGCTCAGTTGAGGTAGGGCAAATAGCTGAAAAATCAGCCAGGAATGTTTGTGCTTTATCAGCCTGTGGAACTATGTGACACATCTAAGATAAATAATTATTTAGAATAAGATCATGACCAAAAGTTACAACTGTACTAAAAAATAGTGCTATAAAATATAAAGTAAAATGAAATTCAAATTGATGCTGAGGAAGGCAGTGGTTTTGGGCTGTACTGAAATCTTGGTGAACTACAGCGGCATGCTGTGACTGAAGAAAAAATAATTGCTTTATTTCTGTTTCTGAAAGGCCCAATTTTGTGACACTATTAACTGTCTTGAATGTTTTAAGTAGCAGCTGTTCCCTTTTGTATGACTCTGCTCTGAACTGTGTAAAACATCATCATGCATATTTAAATGGCACTCACATTTTTACTTTTTAAAAATGACATAGTATTGGAATAAGTATCTTATGCCTGGTATAATAATATTCAGGAATTAGTAACATTTTCTGTTATGTATTTTAACAACCACAGCTGTGCTTGAAAGTGGGTCAATGGTAAAAATTGTCCTTATCATATGCTTGTTCTTTTAAGAGAGGTACTTTTTGGGTAGAGTTTCTTTTTACGTATAATTCTTAATCAGGCAATAAAAATATCACAACTTAAGTACAGACAGTTACTAACTAAAACAAATGGTTTGAGTGAGATGTGCAGGTGAAACACATTCAACAACACCTTTAGGAGAGGAGTGCCCCCATACCTATCAGTCCTGTGCTGTAGCCTTGGTGCTGCAGTATTTTGGCAAAAGTGGTTTCGTTTGCAGGAAGCCCTCCTGAGCCAGCATTCCAAAAAATTACACGGTAATCGTTTACAGCATCCATCCCTAAAAATGCAACAAAAACCAATCTGAGTCAGCATAAAGGGTTGAGTACTTTTGTCTAACATACTTTTTTGTTTCCTGATTTCACTGAAATGGTAGTGTTAAACATTTGCCCTAGTGCTCTTTGTTTGTGGAAAGGAATCTAAGACCCTGGACAAGATTAAGAAAGAGTTACACATTTGTATAGGAGATTATATGTCTCAGTGGCTGTATGAAATGCACTTCCTTAGTGTGAGGGCAGGGAGGAGCGCAAGGAGACTTCAGCCCCCTGTCAGTCTCAGACTCCAGCTCACTGAGGGCTGCCAGGGTACTCAGGGCTTCCTTGCACAGTGGCCTGGCTGGTACCTGATCTCTGAGCCCCACAGAGTAGCAATCTTCTCTTCACCTGCAGGTTTACACCCTACCATTTAGTATTTCATTCTGGCATGACTCCATCATACAGTGCTATGTAAAGTTCAATCTGTCATTGTAGCACTGAACATCTCTGGCCCTGTTGTTACAGTGGAAAAGGGTCTGTACAAGCCTGTGTGTGTTTTCAAACCACCAGTCTCAGTGGGAGCTGTCATAATAAAAACAGGATGACACATCAGCTTCAAAATGCCTCAGGAATGAAGGCTCCAAAGATAATTTGCAATAGAACAAGCATTTGAGGGTTGCTGTTAGAAACATGTAGAGCTATTTGTTTTTCATACCTCTTCATCTCAGGGATGCAGTTTGACAGGATAGTGTTTTTCTTCAAAAACACAATTGGGAAAAATAATATTGCTGTCAAACTGTTATCTTCTAGGACAGATTAATTTTGACAGATACGTAAAGAAGCTTTTCCATGAATGACTCGTTCTGCACCTTGACTGAAGGGAAGTGACACACATCTGCACAGGCTACTCTGCTCCCTGCAGGGCTGAGCTGCTTCTGACATCTGATGAGGGGTCATCTATGACAGAAATTAATTTAACTAGTGTTAAATTTTGTAAGTGTGTGGTTACCATTCTTCATGTTTTGTGTAATGGCTTTTTTGAATGTAAAAGCTTGCTGTAATTCCATTCTGGCTGCAGTCTGTACAACAGAGAATCAAAACATAACCAAAATTGTGCATTGAGGGGTTGGGGGAGACCAAGACGCTCTGCAGAGCTGATTCTTCTCTGTTTTGCTTCACCCCAGACCTATTCACAAATACCCTACAAACACAGAAGCCACCTCAAAGGTGCGTAGCCTATCTGATACCTCATGTGTCTCAGTGAGGATGGAGTGTCTGTGACACCCCTTTTTGCACACCCTCATTTCTTCTGTGCCCATTGTATGACACTGTTCTCTCCAGCAATAGAGCAATGTTTAAAGGCTCTGTGGCTCTGCAAGGCAAACCTGATCGGAGGGGATATCTGCCAGTGAGGAAAGCTGCTCTGCTGGGGGTGCAGAGTGGGGCTGCAGCGATGTGTTGGGTCAGCTTCACTCCTTCCTTTGCCAGGCGATCAATGTTGGGGGTCCTAAAAAAGCAAACGATGCCACCAGATATCATCCAGAGAGTCTTTCAAGGGAATAAGAAATTATATACTTATCTTTATTTTCAGAAGTTTGCTGTATTTGAAGATGGCCAGGAAATATTTTTGTAATTTATTTAAATTTTCTCAAGTGATGTGGAAATATTTATCTTTTCATTGATTCCTTAAGAATCAGTAAATGGATTAACTTCAAGACAACCTTTTTTTTTTTTTTAATGTCCTATGAAGTCTTGCAGAAATCATAGAATTGTAGAATTGTTTGGGCTGGAAGAGACCTTAAAGATCACAAAGTTCCAGCCCCCCTGTCATGGGCAGGAACACTTTCCTCTAGATGAGGTTACTCAGAGCCCCATCCAACCTGACTTTGAACACTTTTGAGGATGGGGCATCCACAGCTTCTCCGGACAACATGTTCCAGTGCCTCACCAACCTCACAGCAAAGACTTTAATTCCTCCAGAGCTGCCTTCCCTACACCAGCTTCTTAAAGAGCTGTGCATCAGCCTCCCTCTATCAGTGTAATGGTAATTTACTTGCCACAGGGTGATAGTGCTTGGCTAGACAAGATGGTACATGACTTACGGTACTGATAAGGAAGCTAACAAGGTATTTCTCATGAAATTTGTAGCAAGGGAAAAGGAGAAAAAGGGAAAGAAATCCTGCATGTTTTCACACTGTAGTGGTAATCTCTCACGGCAACATGAATCAAGCCACATGTGAGTAAGTAGGTGAGAAGAGAATATTTTGTAAGCAACTGGCAACCAACAAAAACAAGCTTGCCTAGCACACTAGTTACAGACAAGGCAATATCTTACATTTCAGAATACAATATCCCCCTCTTCCAATTCAAGGTTTGCCTACTTCTATTTTAACTTAGACTGAGAGTCAGTTTTACAATTTTGTTTCTGTAATTATCAGTTCAATGGTGTTCACAAGAAGGCAAAACCTCCAGCAGGATTTTGAAAGATCCTGGATGTTTTGTTGCTTTGTACTCGTGCTGTTATGGATTCCTCCCTCAAAGACACACTGCCAGGAACCAACAGCTGCAACATTTCTTATTCCCTACAGCCTTTTGCCAGAGGTGCAGTCTGGGTAACTTGGCAAAGCCAAGGGTGTGGTTCCACCCTTCAGCACAATTGCCATCTCAGTTAGCTAATAAATGTTCTCCTCAAAGGAGCTCTAGGTCTGCTTCTCAAACTGCTGTTTCAAAATCCTGACATTCTTTGCATTGCAGAGAACCATTTGCTAGGAGAGCCCAGATACTTGTCACCCTGCTAGTACGCCCTGAATGTAAAAAGAAAATCCATGCCTTGGAAATGATGTTATGGAGGCCTGGATTTGCAGATCCTTATCAGCTGCCTGTGATCACCAGCTGCTTGTCAGCAACTTGCTGACTGAAACCTTTCAGAGTAAGATTTTGCTTCAGAGTAAGATGCTTTGCTGGATGAAGAGAGGGATCATAGCAAATTTTATTTTGTTTAAACATGTTACAAGCCAGCAGGATATACTGTGGCACAATTTTCAAAGAGAAGGCGAATTCTATGTCTTTGAGGCTGAAAAGAGAAATATTTCCTGGTCACATTACTCATTGTAGTAATTTAATTGTATTTTGAGGTGAGACTGGGAAAGAATGGTAACAGAATTAAAATGAGGTAATGAGGACTGTGTGTTGGAAGAGGGGACAATATTTCTATCTTTGGGTGTAACTGTTTCTTAAGTGTTAGGCAATTAAGGAATACACAAGAATTATTGTCATATTACCACAGTAAAACAGTGCCACACAGCAGAGCTGGCCCTAGGAATGCCCTCGAGGCTATGAGATAATGCTGGGCAGAGACTTTCAGGTTTACATTAAATATCACACCAGCTCTGTTCACCCTTAGGGTTAGTTTCCTTACCTGATAGTATCATTCCCATAGCAACCTACATCCCCTATGCCGAGATCATCAGCCAGCAGCAGGACAAAGTTTGGCTGTGTGATGGTGGAAGCCTGTGTGAACGGTGCTTGCAGAAGCAGACCAAAAATCAGGGGTGTAACCAGGGGTGACCTGAAACACAGAAAAGGGAGAGAAGCCAGTGACTTGGCCATTCATCACTCCCCCTGCACGTGGCCAGAGACCCTCGATGCTTGGCTGCAGGCCAGACCACTCTGTCCAGACACAGAGGGTGTGCTAAGTGTTGATCATTTACCCAAATTGAGGTGATGAAGAGGAAAATGTCAGGACCATAACTTTAAAATCTCCTTTCCTGATTCATTCCAAGTTCCCTGTGAGCAGTCTCACATGGGAATTTACATGCAGCAGATGGCACACAAGTGATTTTGCTTCATGGTTTGGATGTTTATAGAGGGTTGTTCTGGGAAGCTGAGAATGGGATCAACTTCCTCTGACATCTTTTTTGACTGGACTGAGATCTTTGGGTTGTGAAAAAGTTAATAACAAGAAAAACAAACAAAAATCACATTGTGAGATAAAAAATGCTACTATTTTATACCACAGTATTACATCATTATTGAGCATCACTCACTTTAGATCTAAGTATGATACAACAGTAATTAATAATTTTTTTCTTACCAATGACATGTTAGTTGCCAAATCATTTCTGCATTTGGAGTGTTTAAATCCTGCAAAACCAAGAGTATTTTGTCATAGTTATATCTTCCTAGTAGCAACTGCAATAAAAATAGATTACAAACTTACTCAAAGCCTGTTAACATTCTGTTTTTGTCGGAATCTGTGGGTGTTGATGATTCCGAGATTGTAGAAAGTCTCTGTCTTTCTGCCCCGTTGCCAAAGAAGAAGCCATAATTTGTCTGTGCTGTTTTCAAGGTTGTTTATTCTTGCTTATCTCTAACATGTTCTGCTGCCCTGCCGCAGGTCTGTCCTGCAGGGCAGCGTGTGGGGCTCTGCCCCCACTGGGATGTTACAAACATTATATACCAGAAACTACGTGTGCTATATTTACAATAATGTGCCAATATCTATCATCTACGTTGAACACTGTGTCCCCAGCCTAAACCAATAGAAAAATGCCAACACTACAGTGAAACATGGAGGGCATGAAGAAGGAGGAAAAGGACAAGACACACCCAATTTCCTCCATCTTGTCCCCGTTTGAACCCCTAATCTAGAAACCTAAAATTTTACTTTTGCACCCGTGCCACACTTAATTATTACTCTTATCAAACACTCCGAGCTTGTAATTCATCGTGTAAGATTGAAAACTCTTTTCCATGGACAGAGATCAGAGACAGTGTCTCTCGGGGCTCTGTACAGGGGGGTTCCTGACCCCTGCCAGGGTCCCAGGCCCTCCAGGGCAGACAGAGGGAAGCCCTGGATTCCCACATGTTTTATTTACTCCAGTGCACCTCAGACCCTAAATGAAGAAGAGTAAAGGTATTAATGTTATTTTTATTGCTAGCCCTTCCCTTATTAGAGGGATTTTTCTTTTTGAGTAAAGAAGTTTATCTCAAAATAGCAAAATAATTCAATTTTCTTACATGAATCATCTATATAAAAATACTTTCTGTTTATAAAGGAAAAAAATAGAGCTTTAAAACCCAGTCCTCAATATAATTTACATTTCTATAACCATAGAGAGTAGCAGCATTGTGCTTTTTCACATAATGTGCTAAGTTTCTTTTCAGGTTTGTAAGAGGAATTTTTAGTTTCAGAAATTCTAGTCATCTTTTTCTAACAATTGTAATTTCTTGGAAGAATTAATGACCTCTTGTTACTTAACTCTGAGAATGAAGAGGTTTCTCTGTTACCCAGAGAAACCTCTCTGGGGCTTTTCCTTTCACTGTCAGGACAGTGAGATAAACTATTTGCAGACTTTGAACTAGGGTCTGAGTGAACTTCATTCTAAAGCTTTAAAATAGACTTCTTTGAAATTTATCTCACACCTGGCTCAACTGTCCCAAGCACCTCAATTTTATGAATTATGTTTGTTTCATATTTATTTTTGTTTTCCAGAAATGATGTATTAGGCAGTTTAGTTAATTTTCATGGTTCTTGCATTTTACCATCAACACTACAAGGTTCAGTGGGAAAAATTAAATTTCTGTGCTTAGAAAACTGGCATCCAAACACTTGCTTATAAACACCAGAACTGAGGCAGCATTACTATCTAGAGATACTCAGTTTCCTGCATGTCAGTTTGTGCCTTTGCTGCATCCTAAGCAGTTATAGGAAAAGTACAAGAGAACACCTCAGCCATCTCTAACATTTACATCCTATAAGCCTCCAAAACAGCTGAAGTAAAAGGAAGCTGGAAATAATCACATTTAATTTTGCAGTTGGTTGTTACACAGTAGAGACACTGATTTAGATCACAGCCAGGAGCTTGGGGCTGAGTTTCCCCTGAAGCTGCCTGTAAAATAGCAGTCAATACACAGAAAACAGCTATTGATTTATTATGCTGACTGGTATTATCCCTGTCAAGCCATTTCCTCAGTGAAAGGTGATGAGAGTCCAGGCAGAGAAACTGCAAGCAAACATTCCCCTCTGCTTAGAGCAAAACTCCTTCCTCCCTCTCCCATTGCTAATCCCTCCCCTAAAGTAATTTAGTTTTTGTCCTTTTCTTCATCTATTTTAATAATCCTGAGGGAAATAGCTTGCGTATCTTTCATATTTCACCAACCGTTTTCCTGTGTTGATTCAAATTTTGTAATCAGTCTACCTTTCTAACAAAATACTTAAAAGATACAAAAATCTCACAAGAGGAAATATTCATTGTTTTAGACATACTCATATGCACTTTTCCTGAAAACGGTACTCATTTGTGGCATCAGTTTGTCAACAATCAGTGAAAAGTCACACA